AGAGTCCCAGCACCAGCGAATTGCCCAGCCTAACTTACCTGGAGATTTCTGCTCCTCCAATACTCCATTATTCCCAGCCAGTTTAGCAGAGGGTTCAGAGTCACTGCTGTTACAGGACCTGTCAAAAACAGGTGTCAGCATCGAACGTCCCAAGCTCAGACTCCGACAAAAGGAAACACGTGCCAGGCATAAGCAGAGGGGCCTTGCATAAACCTCCATTCCTCTTCCTGACCAAGGGCTTCCCTTCCTCCTCCCAGAACCAGGCTCCAAGCCAAGAAGCCTGCCACTGGACCTTTTAAATCACTAACAGTTAAAGTATACTTAGGGTTAGGATTGACCCGCAAGAGATGCTAGGGTGACTCCTAAGCCCTGGGCATGCTGAGGCAGGAATGGGAGAAACAGAAGGCTAGGGGATGGAGTGAGGCTTGCTTATGAGCAAAGGGAAGAGACTTACATGCTGCAGTTGCTTTCCAACAGGATTTCCTGCAAAGCCAAAGGGCCACAGTTAGAGGCCAATCCACCACTACATAATCACTGAATAGGTAACACGGTAAGCAGAATAATGCCCCTCAAAAGTGGTACACATCCTAATCCCTAGAACCTATGAAAATATCAGGTTTCATGGCAAGGTTGCAGATGGAGTTAAGGTTGTCCATAAACTGACAAAACAGGTCCGGCACAGTGACTCAGGTCTGTAATCCCAACACTTCGGGAGACCAAGGTGGGTGGATCACCAGAGGTCAGGCGTTTGAGACCAGCTGGCCAACTTGGCCAAACCCCGTTTCTATTAAAAATACAAAAATTAGCTGGGCATGGTGACAGGCACCTGTAATCCCAGTTAGTCAGGAGGCTGAGGCAGGAGAATCGATTGAACTCAGGCGGCAGAGGTTGCAGTGAGCCGAGATTGGGCCACTGCATTCTAGCCTGGGCAACAGAGTGAGACAACGTCTCAAAAAAAAAAAAAAAAAAAGAAAAAAAAAGAAAAAAAAAAAAAAAAAAAAAAAAAAAAAAAAAAAGAAGAGAGAGAGAGAGATGTGATAACAGAAGCAAAGTTAGAGTGATGTGATATGAGAAGAACTCGACTACTGTTGTTGGCTTTGAAGGTGGAGGAAGGGGCCACAAGCCAAGGAATGCTGGCAGCCTCTAGAAGCTGCAAAAGTCAGGAAAATGGATTCTCCAATTAAAGCCTCCAGAAGGAACACAACCCTGCTGAAACCTTGATTTTAGCCCACTAAGATGTGTGTCAAACTTGTGATTTACAGAGCTGTGGGATAATATATTTGTGTTAAGCCACTGAGGTTTTGTTATGAAAGCAAATAGAAAACGAATACAGATAGCATGCGCAAACCACACACAGCTCTGCACAGTGGCTGGCCCGTGGAAAGAACGGTACTTTTGGAGTTTGATGCATCTGTGAGTCCGCCCCAGAGACCTTGAGCAAATTTCACCTGTCCAGTCAGAATCAAAACACCCATGTCATAGATCATGGCAGTGAAGTGAGATACTGCACTTAAAGCACTTGTCATGTGTCAAGAACTCAATAAATGATAGCCATTGTGGTGTTTTTTGTTTGTTTGTTTTGTTTTCTTAGATGAAGTTTCACTCTTGTTGTTCAGGCTGGAGTGCAGTAGAGCTCATTGCAACCACTGCCTCATGGGTTCAAGTGATTCTCCTGCCTCAGCCTCCCGAGTAGATGGCATTATAGGCACCCACCACCATGCCTTGCTAATTTTTTGTGTTTTTAGTAGAGATGGGGTTTCACCACATTGGCCAGGCTGGTCTCAAACTCCTGACCTCAGGTGATCTGGCCTCCTAAAGTGCTGGGATCACAGGCATGGGCCACCACACCCAGCCATTGCGTTTATTTTTAAGACTTTCATTGGCACTTTCCTACAACTCCATGAGTATTATCTTCCCATTTTACAGATGAGAAAATGAAGCTCAAGGATATCAGGTGATTTTATAAAATTATAAAAGATACTGAGATAACTCAGTCCTGTGATTCTAAAGCTTTGGTCCTCTTTCTATAGATAACAGAGCTATCAAAGACATTTTAAAGGGATTTTTTTTCCCAGTACTTTAGGGAAAACATAAATTAAGACAGTAAATTTTAAAATAAAACAGTAACTCTTTCTCTAAATTATGCCCAGCTGTAGGAGGGAACAACAATTTTAGCTGCAACCAATTCTAAATAGAACTAAAAGTAGTTCATTTAATTAAAAGACTTAGGTATGGGTGGATAAAAATGGAGAGGTTTATGGGCAAAATCAGAGATCTAGGATGTTGGTCCCAGTTCCTGGTAATTCCTGGAAAAGCCTATGGGCTTCTGGAATAGAACAGGCACTGAGACCTCCCAAGCCAAGGGCCAGCATAAGTCTGTCCAAGATGCCTTTAAGGGCCTGCCAGGTACCATGCTAAGCAGCTAATACACATTCTCATTTAATCCTCAAACTCCAAGAGGGAGACACTGTCAACCCATTTTACAGATGAAGCCCTGGAGGCGCAGAGATGATAACCTAGTATTTGGCCAAGATCACTTAGTATCTATACTCACAAATGGGAGAAGTCTGTTTTTGTTTTGAATCCAAATGATATGATTCCAAAGTCCTGAATTTCCTTCTATTGTTTGATCTGGAGAAGTATCCTATTTGTGTTATTTTTGTTGTTGTTGTTATTGTTGAGACAAGGTCTTACTCTTTCGCCCAGGATGGAATGCAATGGTGTGATCTCTGCTCACTGCAACCTCTGCCTCCCAGGTTCAAGTGATTCTCTCACCTCAGCCTCCCAGATAGCTGGGACTACAGACACGTGCCACCACATCTGGCTAATTTTTGTTTTTAGTAGAGACAGGGTTTCACCATGTTGGCCAGGCTTTGTGTTTTTAAAAAGACCTAAAGAATCCATAAAGAACTCCTACAACTCACCAACAAAGACAACAAAAAAACCGATTAAAAAGCAAGCAAAGGATCTGCTAGACATTTCTCTAGAGATATACGAACGGCCAATAAGCACATGAAAAGATAATCAGCATCTTTAGCCATTAGGACAATGTAAATCAAAACCACCATGATAAACTTCGTATCAATCAGGGTGACTACAAGTAAAAAGACTCTATCAAGTGTCGAGGACATGAAGAAACAGGAACCCTCATATTGCTGGTGGGAATGTAAAATGGTGCAGCCACTTTGGAAAAGTTTGTCAGGTTCTCAAAAAATTAAACAGAGAATTACCATATGACCCAGCAAGTCCACTCCTGGGTAACTATTCAAAAGAAATTCAAACACATGTTCACACAAAGACTTTTCCACAAATATTCATATTAGTGTTGCTTATAATAGCCAAAAAGTGAGAATAATCCAGGTATCCATCAACTGATGAATTAATGAAGTGTGGTATATCTATACAATGGAATATTACTTGGTAATATAAAAGGAATGAAGTACTTATACATGCTATATAACCTGGATGAATCTCAAAAATGATGCTAAGGGAAAGAAGGCCACATATTACATGATTCCACTTCTCTGAAAAGTCCTGAATAGACAAATCTGTATAGACAGAAAGTAAATTAGTGGCTGTCTAGGATTGGGAGGTGGAGAGGGGAATGAGGAGAGACTCCTAATTGACGGGAGATTTCTTTGAGGGCGATGGAGATGTTCTAAAATTAGATTGTTGTGATGGTTGTACTGTAAACACACCAAATATACTGAAAACACTTGAGGTGTACACTTAAAACAGGTGAATTTTATGGTGTGTGAATTATATCTCAATAAAGCTTTAAAAAAAAAAAGTCAACACACATTTTAAAGAATGGTCAGTACGAGTACGCATTTCTTTCACTTTCCCGCCTCACAAACCATCACCCACACAAATGAAGCCGACCACGGTGGCGATCATTCCGTTTCCATGACTTGCACAGTGTTGGTCAGCCCCTGCAGCACATTTAGTTTGCTAAACTAAAAGATTTCCGTTTAGTAAACTAAAATTTCGTTTTTTAAACCAGAAAGTTTTTTTTTGTTGTTGTTTTTTGGGGTTTTTTTTTTGAGACGGAGTCTGACTCCGTTGCCCAGGCTGGAGTGCAGTGGGGCGATCTCGGCTCACCTTAACCTCTGCTTCCCAAGATCAAGCTCTTCTGCTTCAGTCTCCAGAGTAGCTGGGATCACAGGCGTGCGCCACCACCCCCGGCTAATTTTTGTATTTTTAGTAGAGACGGAGTTTCGCTGAGCCACCGCGCGCAGCCTCAGAAAGTTCTTAAACAGCTTCAAAGGAAGGGGGAATGACAGAGGCGTCCTTTCCCATAAAGTGGCCACCGTTCCGCACACTGCGCTACCCACCCGCACAGATCCCGACTAGGAGGTCAGCGCCCACCCGACTCGAGGGACCGAATGCCCCGCGGGAACAGCGCCCCCTTTCCCCATTTCTATCGGGACGAGGGCGGCTTCCACCGCTGCCTGCACACGCCGCTGTCCCCCAACCCTAGCTCAGCAGTCCGGGACCTAGGGCCGGGAGTCCTACCTCGCCTCGCGTCCACCTGCGGTCGCGACGCCCAGCCTTCGCGCCTTCTCCCTCCGCGCTCCGCCTCCCGGAAGCCCGCGGGGCGCGGGGCGGGGCTTGCCGGCAGCCAATCCCCGGCGGCCGCGGCGGGATGCGCCTGGTCCCCGCGGCTCACAGGACCCTGTGCCCCTGAGAGTAACGGAACGGGGGCCGGAGCGGGTGACCGTTGTCCCTGCGTCCGACTCTTAGCTGGCAACCACTGCCCCACCACGAAAATAATGTTTGCAGAAAAAGCGGAACGGAGTGGGTGGGCGAGGGGCGCCTGGCGCTGTGCGGGCCGAGGGGCGTGCTTCCTGGGGGCGGGCGGCGCACGTGGCACACTCCTGGGCGCGTGGGACGGCGGCGCCTGGCCGAGATGCGCTGGGTGCCGACGCGCGCAGTGGGCAGCGGTCGGGAGCTCTACTTCCAGGGGGGCGCGGCCGGTCCGCACGTGCGGCCACCGCCCCCGGGCCCGCCCCTGCCGTGGCGCCCACCCCGCGGGCCCTGGCTCTGGGCGGGAGACGGCGGGGCTGGGAGGCGCCAGCCGCGGAGGGGAGGGGCGCGCGGAGGGGATGGGCTGCCAGCCGTCCGTCCACCTTCTGTCGCGGCGCCGGGGACACTCTCGCCGCCTCCGCTCGGTCCCCTCTGGTCCTGGGAGCGTGGGCCTGGTTGCAGGGGGCTTCCGTGGGCCTGGCCTCTCCTACCGCGGGAGGAAAGAGTGAGGGAATCCCCAGGCGCCCGCCGCCTCAGAGAGCCAAGGTGTCCTCGGGTCGGGCGGGCGCTGAAGACGAGCCCGGGCGGGGCCCCTGCGCGTCGTGCCTGTCGCCGGCCGTGTCCGGAGCGGAGGCCAGCGCCCGCCCGCTCGGCGCCCCAGGCCGCGAGGACCCCACCCTACCGGGCGTGGGCGACGGCCGGCCGGGGGCGCGAGGAGCAGCCGTCGCGGGGCCTCGCCGCGGCCTCCAGCGCCCGAGTCACGGGGAATGCAGTGGCCCCCGACCCCTGGCGCCTCTCCGTGTCTGGGCTGGGCCTCCTCGCTCGCCTGCTCCACCGCCGCGACGCTCCTGGTCCGAGCCGGCCGGGGCCCCCTCATGGCGGCCAAGTGGTTCAAGGAGTTCCCCCTGAACCTGAAGACCGTGTCAGAGCGGGCCAAGCCCGGGGGCGGCGGCGGCGGCAAACTGCGCAAGAACTCGGAGGCGGGCGGCGCGGGGCCGGGCCCCGGCAAGGGCCGCAAGAACTCGGCGGCCGAGCTGGGGAGCGGCAGGGCCGGCCTCGGCCCCAAGGACAGCCGGCTGTCCCGCGACAGCCTGCAGGGTCTGATTCAGGCCGCCACGGGCAAGAGCCGCAAAAACTCCCGGGCCACGGAGGAGGAGCCCCACCGGGGTGCGACCAAGAGCTCTGGCTGCAGCACCTACATCAACAGGCTTATCAAGGTGGACACTCAGGAGAAGAACGGGAAAAGCAACTACCCCAGCAGCAGCAGCAGCTCCAGCTCCAGCTCCAGCTCCTCTTCCTCCGCGTCCTCTTCCCCTTCCTCCCTGGGGCCCGAGCTGGACAAGGGCAGGATTATTAAGCAGCAAGACACGGTAAGCATACAGCCTCCTTTGGACCCCCTCTCTGTGGGAGGGGAGCCCGGGGCACCTGCTAAGCCCTCGGCTTCTTTAGACCTAAGAGGGGGTGAGGTTTCCTAAGGTCCTTTCTCCTTCCACCGTTTGGGGACTCCTGAGTGACCATTTACAATTCTTAGACTTTTTTTAGTCTTGAAAAATTCTTCCAGAGGTGGGGAGCTTTGCAGAAATGTACTAGCCATTGAATTTTGTTAGCAGTTTAGAAGTGTCGTTGAATGAGATATTCCTGTTTGGTTAAATTTGACCCCTTTATAGATGTGGTTTATTTTAATTTTGATATTCAGGGGAACTGCAAAGCTAGCCTTGTGTATGACTTTTATGCTTCTCGAGCATAAGAAATGGTAGCCTCTAAACTGTGTAAGTATGCATTTCAAAGCTTCAGGAAATGGGTTGGCCAACCCCGGTCTCCACTGATTTGGAATCTCCATTCTCTACGGTGCTACCTAGTAAAAGGCTACGTGGAGCTTCAGCAAATCTCCAAGACTACTGCCGTTTCATTCATTCCATAGGCATTTGTTTTGCAGCAGCCATATGGGAAAAGGGGAACGGGGCATTAAGAGCTGTGGGGACACAGAATATGACAAGGAAATGCACTCAAGGAAATTACAGATGAGAAGAGAAGGTGTTTCCTGCCGCGGACACACTGGAGGTTTTCTGAGTGCTGTCCAATGTGGAAAAGCTAAGAAAAGGAGTGTGAACGTAGGAAGGGACGCCCTCCATTCTTACTGAGATGAGTTGGTCTGTTTGATTTGCTTGTTTTTATCTTCTCTCCGGTGTGAAAGGGAGAGAAGAGCTCAGACTGAGATTTCAGACTCTGGTCCAGGCAATCACTTCCTAACATGGGAGCTTTAATTTTCTCCTGCCCAGGCTCCAAACATGCTGTCTCCCTGGATGAAGCCAAGAGCCTGTAAGACATGCTATGTATGTCTGCATTGAGCACTTCTGTTCATTTCTCCATTCACTTTTTCATGCTCGAAATACAGCATGCCCACCCTGAGCCAGGCACTGAGTGGAGAGCAGTGTAAAGATGGACGGGGCCCAGCTCATATTTAGTGCCCCCCTGCCTGGGTGACTAGACCACAAGCACCTTGAAGCCCAGGGCTGAGTATCATCTTAGGTTCCTCTTTGTATCTTGCAGCTGCAGTACACATGGTGGGTAGTCTAGAAAAATGGATTGAGTAAGTGAATGGCAGACACAGCCCCTTGCCGTGGTTGTCTGGTCATGTTTATGGTTGTCACTTCTGGATGTATGAGGTTTCTGAGGCTTTTTCCAGGCTGTTTCCTCCTCTTCGCTTCTCCTCATTTATCTGAATTCTTCTTACCAACTCCAGCGTTACTTTTAAACTCTTTGGAGAATGTAATCGGAGGTTGTGGAGCTTCCTGCCTGAGAAGGGTACCTGACCTCTGGAGTTGTCACCCGTCACACACACACCACCTCCTCAGGCACCTTCTATTTTTGGAAAGACAGATGCTTTCTGACACAAAACAGGGGATCCCACATAGTGATCAAAACCCTGTCTGATCTGTAGCCTGTGACGATCAGTTTCCCTGTGATTATTGAACCTAGAACTCCTACAATACTGTTTAGCACTGACCTACTTCTCATCTATGAAGCCTGTCTCTTTGGAGCTGTGATCCGCTCCTTGAGGGCAGGAAGCATGTCTTAGGTTTATTTTGACTCCCTCACAGTGCCTAGCCAGTGCTGGTGGATGCCTGACTGACTCATTATGACTGTGCTGCTCAGCTGACTGGAGTTTTAAAAACTCAATTCATAGGGTATGTGGTAAAGCCACATACCTTTTATGCTGTAAAGCCACAGTTACCCTTTACTCCCCACATCCACCCCTGCCACCCTCTAACCCAGAAAATGTTTTACTTCTTGGGGAGAGAAAGGGAGGTAAAAAAGAGCCTTGGGGATAAATGAAAGAGTTTACATGAATTGTTGCAAACCAAGTATACTAGCAAAAAAATCAGATGTTTGTCTAACTGGGACCCATGATCAAGTGCAAAAGCTATCTGGAACCGATTAGAGATTCTGACCTCTTTGGAGATGCAGGAGATGTCAGTAGCCATTTTGATACCATTGCCATGTTGGTATATGGTGGTCCTTAGCAACTATCCCCTCTTGTTCTTTTATAGGTCATCATTTTAGAAGACTATGCTGACCCTTATGATGCCAAACGGACAAAGGGTCAAAGGGATGCAGAGAGAGTCGGAGAGAACGACGGTTACATGGAACCGTATGATGCACAGCAAATGATAACAGGTTTGTAAGCAGGTTCTGCATAATAGAGACGGAAATCTCACGCTCAGTGAGCGTGTAGCAACTGGAGTATATGGGGGAAGAGGGACAAAGCAATTTAACCAGATCCTGCTGACTTGGAAAAACAGAAATTAGACCCCAAACTAATGTCAGACTATAGGTAACTTCCTTTATGATTTAGTATCCTTCAGAGTTTTAGAATTTGCAGGAGTCTTTAAAGTGTTTCTGGTTCTATGCAAGATGACATTTATGAGTACAGATCTGCTCAGAATTTGATGTTCAGTTTTAACACAAATATATACATTTCGGGGCCACTTTCAGAAGCTTTAACATTCATAATGGGAGCCGTGTATCTTACCAAGGAACAAATACATACTTAAGGCATTTTGAGCTGTTAAAAAATGCAAGCATAGCCAGGCGCAGTGGCTCACTGCAATGCCTGTAATCCCAGCACTTTGGGAGACTGAGGTGGGCAGATCACATGAGGCCAGGAGTTTGAGACCAGCCTGGCCATCATAGCGAAACCCCATCTCTACTGAAAATACAAAAATTAGCTGGACGTGGTGGTTTGTGTCTGTAATACCAGCTATTCGGGAAGCTGAGGCACAAGAATCAATTGAACCGGGGAGGTGGAGGTTGCAACAAGTCAAGATCGTGCCACTGCCCTCTAGCCTGGGCAACAAAATGAAACCCTGTCTCAAAAAAAAAAAAAATGCAAACCTGATATGATCCTTTACTTTGTAGTAGAAGATTTTCTCAACAAGTTGTACAACATTGGAGCCAAAAATTTAATTACTAAGGAATAATTAACAATCATGGCCATAAACCAAGCCATTCAACGCAAACCACCTAAAACAAAACTGGACTAATATTGTAACTTTTTAAGTCAGGACAATTCCAGTTTGTGAGCTAAGCAGTCACTCTGTCATTCTTAGTGTCAGACTTTTCCCTTTTATTCTTAATTCTCTGAAGTTGATGTAATGATACTTAAATAAAAATAATACAGTTATTTAGATTCGTGAACTTTTTATGTATTCACCTAGTTTTCCGTACACATTCTTCGATCCATAATGAAAAATGTAGTTGCTGAGTGCTGACTCAAGGAAGGCTTACTTGAGTACATGCCTGGGAAGAGAGTAACTGGTCCCACATTAAAGACTTTGTCTCTTCTGTTTAGAACAGATTGAAGAGCTCTCAGACTCAGGTTCTGCAAGTATAGTCTCAGAAGAGTGGAGCAGAGGGTAGTAGCAGCACACTGGAAGGGCCAAGACAGGCTTCAGAATGAAAACGAGCTGTAACAGGAAAGCCAGGCTCTGCTTCCTGCTTCTCTGCTTACAGAGATAAGGCGGCCGGTGTGGGGAGGGTGTACCCTGGCCAGGCTGTGACCCTGAAGGTCACTGGACTGTGACCCCTAATGAAATCTGTGAATGAAAGGAAGTGAAAATGAACTGTCAGAATTTTAAAAAACATCAGAGGCTTGAAAGGAATAGGGAAAAGGGTTTACTTCTACATAAAATTGAAGGAAAGGATTTTCTTTAAAAAAAAAAAAAAAAAGCTTGAAGCTTAACTGTGATTCACCTTTCTTTGTCCTTTGGTTTTTATTCTTATCTTTCTCTTTAACTAAAATAGGTAGTTTATACCTTACAACTGTTTATTTGGAGAGCTGCACATGAATGTAATTTTTTTTTGTAATCCCGAGAACTCTATAAGCTAGGGGATAGCAATGCTGTCCCCCTTGTGACAGGGTGAAAAAAAACAAGATCAAAGGGATTTGGGCTTGCCTGAATTCAGGAGACTTTTTAAGAGACAGAGCAGGAATTAGCATCCGGATCTCCCACTCCACATTGAGTAGTCTGCCCCCAACACCACATGACGTTCAGGACGCACTTGAAATGCTGTATGTGAAACCACCATAAACTTCACCCCTCAGTGAGGTATCTTTCCACCCAACCAAGAATGTTGTCTTCAAAAGTCAAAATCATCCAACATGGAATAAATATAATAATCGCTCGCATTTAATATTTGGGTGTGTATTAAGTTCCAGGCTTTGTTTTAAACAGTTTCTGAAAATAAATTCATTTAGGCATACAAAATTAATATATTCAATTGGTGAATAAATTCAAATTTATTAAAAATCCAAATTATTAATTCTCTAAACTAGTGATCTAAATACTCTTTGCTCTTTAAAAAAAATTGCATTAGTGGGTTTTTAAGTTTTTTCATTTAGAATATATATCACAAAGCACCTTCTCAATCAATGTAGAGACTCTATCTCTTATTCTACCCACAGGTTACAAGCGGGACAGAATAACAGGAAGTGAGTTTATCAGAAGCTAGAAATAAAAAATTTGCCACTGGGCTTTTGTTTTTTAAACCATTTTTTATTCAGTTTGCTCCTTTTGTACCTGATTGTCAAGTCCAAGTTCAGAAATTTGCCATCTTTCTTGAGAAATGATAGAGTTTTTTTTTAATTTGTATTTGTTTCAGCTTTTCTGAAGATGGAAAGGATCCTAATGAACATAGTTGAACTGCGGAGTGGTTGAATCTGTGTTGCCATTCTCTGTATTGCCTTTTTTCTACTGGTGAAATGGGAATTACAGGCCTGGTTTTAACAACACCTTGGGCGTATAGAACTGCCCATATGTTGTGTTAGAACACCCAACAAATATTTCTTGGGGATTTATTTATTATATACTAGGCCCTGTCCTGGGCTGTGGGCATACAGGAAACAAGACCCACATGATATCAGCCCTTGGACCTCACAGCCTAAGGGGGAAACAGACCTAACGCCAGCAAAGAAATCAGTCATTGAAAAAAGCATGATAAGTGCTATGAAGCAGAGAATAGGAGCCAGTGTCTACCTCGGGGACAGAGAAAGCCAAGAGAAGCCCATGGCTTTCCTGTGGCCTAATTGCTATGGGACCCAGGCTCCCTGGGCCCCCACCCCCAAACTTTGCTCTTAACTTTTAAAAGTTAAGAATTTGTGAATTTATGAGTAAATTATCACTGAGATTTATCCAAAGGATTGTTCATAAAAAGATATGACTGTGAATACAAGGCAATATTAGTATAAACTTCTGTTCCTTTTCTGCTAAATTCACAGGAACATTTTAACTAATATTAACAGAAGTATTCTACATAATCTAGCATTAGGAGTTTGAGCCACCACACTGAAACGTTATCATCGGACAGGTCTTTAGAAGTTCCCATCAGTTAGTTAGCATGAGGATTCTTTTCACAGTTGATGTGTCATACAGCCGTAAGCTGAGAGCTTACTAGATACCAGCCTGGCCAAATTACCTCACTACCCTTACACAAACATTATTGAGTTTCTTTTTTTTTAATTTTTCTTCTTCTTTTTTTCTTTTTTTTTTTTTGAGACAGAGTCTCGCTGTGTCGCCCAGGCTGGAGTGCAATAGCACAATCTCGGCTCACAGCAACCTCTGCCTCCCTGGCTCAAGCAATTCTCCTGCCTCAGCCTCCCAAGTAGCTGGGATTATAGATGCCCACCACCATGCCTGGCTAATTTTTTGTATTTTTAGTAGAGACAGGGTTTCACCATGTTGGTCAGACTGGGCTTCAACTCCTGGCCTCAAGTGATCGGCCTGCCTTGGCCTCCCAAAGTGCGGCTTTTGCCATCTACAAAGTGAGCCACTGTGCCTGGCCTAAAGCGGGGCTTCTTTATACAGTTGAAGAAACCTAGGTTCAGAAGGATTAAATAATTTGTCCAGATTACACAATTGAAAATACCATGTCATTCAGCAAGCTGCGGTTTTAGCTTTTGAGCTCCAGTCGAAGATTATTTTTAAAATTTTATTTTTGCTTCCAAATGATTTTGTTGGTTTGTTTAGTCAAATCTAAAAGAGGACTTCACTGTTCAAGTCTCCACTAAAAAGACTACTATGTCCATCTGGCCAGGCACAGTGACTCACGCCTGTAATCCTAGAACTCTGGGAGGCCAAGGTGGGAGGATCAGTTGAGACGAGGAGTTCAAGACCAACCTGGCCAACATCTCTTCAAAAACAAAAAAACGGTTATGTCCATCTTTGCCTATGATTTAAACAGAAAAAAACTATTATGGAAAAAAGTGCAAATGAAGACTGGTTTTGATGTAATTTGCCTTTACTCTCCTTGCTAAATTGCAGGGTTTCTGAATTGTACCTGCTTTTGTTCAGATGTTTAGATTTATTCAATAAGACAATATTAAAGTAATTTTAAAAGCTTGAGCACTGATCAAAGATGTAAAAAATTGCCTGACAGCCCTGTTTCTGATTCCAGGAAAAAAGCACAGTCTTAAGAGGCTCTAGGTTTAATGTTTTAGAAATATGAAATGGATTAAAATGGATTAGGGGAAAAGGCACATTATTTGGAAATTGGAATTAACGTTTTACATGAAATCATTTGAGCATAAAGCATGGACTCTGGAGTTCATCATAATTGGCCCCACCGTAACTACAGCATGACTGTGGCTTCCATTTATTCACTTGTGAAACTGGGGTAACACATCTGTCAGTGCCTTAGCGAGGCATCAGTGAGATTCTGTGTGTAATACACCTAGCAAGTGTATACCTAGTCAATACAGCCATGATTTAGACACTCCAGAGACAATTCTATTTCCAAAGAGAATCCTGGACCACATAGGGGAATACTTAGTGCTAACTACAATTCATTTAGTAAAAGAAACTCTTAGTCTTATGCTAAGACTTTGTTTCTCTGTTTTCATGTGAATGGCATAATTACCTGCAGCAAGTTGGGGATTGAGAAGGGCAAATTTTTGGCCCCTGTGTTTCACACCAATCAGCTGCACATGTTTAGTAGGTACAGGTCAGCCCTGAGCTTCAGCCCCGGCTGCAAATGAGTGATTATCTGCTGCCCATCCCCTGCATTCTGTTGTCTGGTGTGGTAAATGGCCTCTATCGGCAGCCAGGGTGTAGCTTCCTCTTGCCATTTCCTCCTTCTCAGGCTCGTTTCCTCTCAGAGCCCGCTCTGCACGTCAGGGGCTATTCTCCCTGCAGGAAGGGTCGGCTTGCAGCCCTACGATTGTTTCTGTTTCTATGGCGCCTCAGGTTTGGGGGCAGCCAGGTGTTGGAATGGACTGGAAGGTTACTCCCCTTCAAGAGGTGGGGTTGGGGAAGGGAGGTCTGTGCTCAAGCCCTTTCTTCCCCTACTCAAACGTTGTTTCAAAAAATGGTAGCAGTTTGCAGATATTGCCTAATCCCAGGACCCTGCAAGAAAGCATTCTCAACTCTATGTTTTGTGTATCTCCCAGAACTCTTAAGTGTGAGGGGACTGTCTTAAACAGAAGGACCTCATTGCAAAAGTAAAAACTCAAACATATGTATAATAAGAACTCAAGATTCTAATCACTGTACATCATTTTATTTTATTTTAGGGGAGGTGGGCTGGAGGACCCAGTAGGAACACTGCCCATCCGCCTTGTACATCATTTTAGTCCAAATGTATTGAAATATCCTTGTGAGCAGGGCTCCTTCTATCTTAAGGTTGGAATCACCTCTTTTTCCTTTTTGTTCAGCTGGGGCAGAATTGCAGCGAGGACCTTGGGAAAGGGTTTCCCCAGCCTGTGCCAGATGGTCTCAATTGAGTGTAAGCTATGATTAGAAACCTAAAAATTCTATTCTATATTCATCTTTGAACTCCTTTGTGTTTTCTGCTTCCTTTTTCTTAGTTCTTTTAGAAAAATTCTCTTTAAAAAATTCCAGCCTTGCATGGTGGTGGGCGCCTGTAGTCCCAGCTACTTGGGAGGCTGAGGCAGGAGACTCACTGGAACCCAGTAGAGCCGAGATTGTGCCACTGCACTCCAGCCTGAGCAACAAAGCAAGACTCCACCTAAANAAAAAAAAAAACATAGAAATTAGCAGAGTGTGGTGGTGTGCTTCTATAATTCCAGCTACTTGGGAGGCTGAGGTGGGAGAATTGTTTGAACCTGGGAGGCGGAGGTTGCAATGAACCCAGATAGCACACTGCACTCCAGCTGGGGCAACAAAGTGAGACTCTGTCTCCAGAAAAAAAGAATGCTCCTGATCACAGTACCTTTATTTTCTCACCACAGAAGCTATCAAATTGGGAGCAGCTTTTTCTAGCTCTGACTTAGTACATCAAACCTGTTAAAATCCCTATTTATAGGCCAGGCGTGGTGACTCACGCCTGTAATCCCAGCACTTTGGGAGGCTGAGGCGGGTGGATCACTTGAGGTCAGAAGTTTGAGGTCAGAAGTTCAAGACCAGCCTGACCAACATAGTGAAACCCTGTCTCTACTAAAAATATAAAAAACAGCTGGGCATGGTGGTGCATGCCTGTAGTCCCAGATACTCTGGAAGCTGAGGCAGAAGAATCACTTGAATCCAGGAGGCAGAAGTTGCAGCGAGCTGAGATAGCACCACTGCACTCCAGCCTGGTCACAGAGGCAGACTCTGTCTCAAAAAAAAAAAAAAAAAAATTCCAGCTTTGTCTTAATTGAACCAAGAACAGTATATTTTTGTTTCTTGTTTTCCATAGCTGTGTCTGGAGTAAGCAATGAAGAAGAAAAGCTGTAGGACTGAGAGTGCAGGGACTCAGGAGACGAAGCCCTGACCTCAAACAACCCCAGACACCTGGCCTGGGGGTGGAGGCCAGGGACAGTTCATCCAACTCTTATATTCTGATATGGAAGTTACAGACACAGGCACTTTTCCCCTCGGGAGGCTCTGGAGGGCAAGAGGAACCAAGATGGGGACTGTGGGCATCCAGGAGGTGTGGAAGTGGTTCTCAGGTTTAGCTGCTCTTTAGAATCACCTGGGGGATTTTTACACTCTTAATTTCCACACTGTACCCCAGGCCAACCTAGTCCAAACCTCTGGTGGTTAAAGCAGTATGTGTTAAAGCCCCTGGGTGATTTCAATGAACTGTCCCTGCACAGAATTTGAGACAGCTGCTGACAGCCCCTAGTCAGCAGAACTGTAACCTCAGCCTATACCTAGGTTTTGCACTTTTGAACTTGGTGTCCTGATTTTAATAACATCGCCCTCTTTTTTGTTATAGAGGTCTTGATGAGTCAGTGATGTTTCTCCATGGAGCATCCCCACACCTGTTTAGAAGTTACAGATAGTCTTCCCACCCTTTGTGTCCGCAGCCCTGCAGTCCTCTGAGCCTCTTCCTCCTCACCTGACCCCTCAACCTTCTTTGCTGGCACCTCTCCCTCCAGCCACCCTGAAGGAGTCCCAGATTCTGCCTTTGATCTTTTTTTCTTTTCAATCTGCCCTCCTTTTCTCTTGTGATTGCTTTCATTTTCACAGTATTCACAATCATCCATCCGTACCTCCTTAACATATCCCTCCAGATTCACACGGTCACCTGCCTGGAGACATTCTAGAGCTCCCTCCCCTCCCATCCATCCATCCAATCATTATTTAGCACAATGATGTGTCCTACAATGGTAAGATATGGTGGTCCCTGCCCTGGCAGACTCCACCACATTGAAAATACTGATGTATTGACATATAAATGGATGCAGTGGGAGAAGAGCAGGGTGAGAGTGGGTTGGTCCAGCCATGGCACCTGATCAACTCTGTGGGGCATCAGAGAAGGTAGTGGGCAGGAAAGGTTTCTCCAGAGAGGAGAAGATGCTGAGTTAGATTGTAAAGGATGCCAAGATCACCAGGACACCAGGTGGGCTCAAGACAGCGTAGTATGCAGGGACTATAGAAGTTCCACTTGGTCAGAGCAAAGAGTTGGATTATGGAGAGACGGGACAGGGTAGTGTTGAGAAACTGGGGAGAGAGACAGTGATCTGCTCATATAAGCCTTCTGTGCCATTCTGAGTGTTCAGCACCTCTTAAGTAGACAGTCGGGAGCTTATGAGGTGTTATGTGATGAGATGTCTGCATATAGAAAGTTCCCTGTTCACTATGATCAGGTGGAGGATGGTTTGAAGGCTTCCAGATGGGCATTCAGAAGAGCCACAACATGATGCTTCTGTTGGTCTATAATATAGACTGTATATATCACCAGCTCTGGTTGTCCAGACTCCAGCCATCTCTAACTCTACCTAAGAAGGCCCCTTGACCCCAGGCTGCTCACCACCCTTTACTGCTAGTTCCTTCTCACCATGGCTGACTGGCTGGTTAGCTAGCTGGTGGTTGGTTGGTTTGCATCTGTTTTTTTCCATCTATTTTTATGCACCATTTCAGACCATACCTTTCTGATTTACTCCATCCTGTACACCATGGTTAGAGTGATCTTCCAGGGAAACACAAATATAATTGTTATTCCCTGCTACAAAACAAAAAAACCTTATAATCATTTTGTATTACATACAGACTATCTAAACTTTTTGTCCTTGCTTTTAAAATGGGCGCCTGGCTTGCCTGAGCTTCCAGCCGTGTCTCCCACTACCCACTGCCTCTCTCGTGTGTGGCCTTCTGGCCTTTTAGACTCATCTCTCAGCTCCCCATCATGGGAACAAGCCCTCTATCGTTCCCACCTCCGTATCTTTACTCATGCAGCTTCCTCCACTGGAAATGACCTTCTCTATCAAAGTCAACTCATCTTACATTTCTCTTCCACTTGGAGTCAATCCAGGTGTAGTGGCTAAGAGTATGGCTTCTAGAGCCCAACTTCCTGCTTCTGAATCCAGGCTTTGGCACTTACTGGTTTATACAATTTCCTTAAACTCTATGCGCTTCAGTTTTCTCTGCTGTAATAATGAGGAAATAATGGTATCCCATAATCACAGAGTGATTGTGAAAGTTACTAGACACTTAGAATAGTGTTTCACACGTGGTAAGCCATCAATAAATGTTAGCTGTTGAGTTATTACTGGTTTTCCCTATAACGCCTCTTTTACTTTGATTTATCCTGGAATTATTAGCCTGATACATATTATTTAGGAATGTGTTTGGCTTCCCTCAGTATATTGAAACTGCATAGGAGTCAAGAACTCTGACTAATGCACATAAATGCTTTCCCTCAGTGTATATGCAGCGATGCTTTGAATATCCAGACAGTCCCTGACTTACCATGGTTTGACAACCTTTACAGTGGTGCAAAAGTGATATGCATTCAGTAGAAATTGTGCTTTGAGTCCCATACAGCCTTTCTGGTTTTTACTTGCAATATTCAGTAGATTACAAGAGATATTCAAAAGTGTATTACAAAATCTGCGTTGTGTCAGATGATTGTGTCCAGCTGTGGGCTAGTGTGTTCATTTAAGGTAGGCTAGGCTAAACTGTGATACTAGGTTAGATGTATTAAATGCATTTTTGACTTGCAGTCGATTGTATTACAATTAGTTTATCTAGGCTTCCTGACAAAATGGAAAAACGCTGAAGGTGAGCTATACTTGAGCAGACACCAGAACCCGAAGTGAAGCAGGTTACCCTGAGGCCACTACTTAGAAACTGCAAGTGGTATCCTGGAGGTGTGCTTGTCTTCAGATGTAATCTCCCACCTTGAATGTGGATCCCATTATCTGATTCAGGCAGCTGGAGGAAAGAAGCTGTAGGCACCTTCGTTCCGCTTTTGTAGCACGGCTCAGAAGCAATCAGCCCATCAGGGAACAATCTTGGAGTTATCTGCCACCCTCAGCCAGCCAGAGGTGCTGAGGTAACTGGGTTAATGACGAGGCTTTTATAGCACCTTTCTTTCAAGGCATTGTGTATGGCGTGTATTTTTCAGAAATTAGACGACGGGGTTCCAAGGATCCCTTGGTGAAGGCTCTCCAGCTGCTTGACAGTCCCTGTGAACCCGCGGAGGGCGGCCTGAAGTCAGAGACCTTGGCCAAAAGACGCAGTTCCAAGGACCTTCTGGGGAAGCCGCCACAGCTGTACGACACTCCCTACGAGCCTGCAGAAGGGGGCCCCAAGGCAGAGGGGAAGCCACGGCCCCCAGACAGCCGGCTGCCCGAGAATGACGAGCGGCCCGCGGCCGAGTACGAGCAGCCCTGGGAGTGGAAGAAGGAACAGATCGTGCGGGCTCTGTCAGGTGAGGGCGCCAGCCAGTCCCGCCCCGGTGTGACTTCCGGCTTCCGGCCAGTACGGGTTCTGTCAGGTGAGGGCGCCAGCCAGGCCCGCCCCAGTGTGGCTTCCGGCTTCCGGCCAGCAAGGGCTCTGTCAGGTGAGGGCGCCAGCTAGGCCCGCCCCAGTGTGGCTTCCGGCTTCCTGCCAGTGCGTACCCTGTCAGGTGAGAGCGCCAGCCAAGGCCCGCCCCGGTGTGGCTTGCAGCTACCGGCCCCTTTCTTGTTTTTTCCTTGTGGGTATTTTTGTATTCCTTTATTTTCTCAGTGTGCAACTGTTTTGGAAATACCTGAAATGACTATTGAAAGAATACACCTGGGTGGGCACTGTGGCTCGCGCCTGTAATCCGGCTTACCTCAGACCAAGCCAGGTGGATGAGTAGTCGTCCAGGAGTTGGAGACCAGCCCGCCCAACTTGGCGAAACTCCATCACTACTAAAAATAGAAAAATCAGGGCTGGGTGCGGCGGCTCACGCCTGTTATCCCAGCACTTTGGGAGGCTGAGGTGGGCAGATCACAAGATCTAGAGATGGAGACCATCCTGGCCAACATGGTGAAACCCTGTGTCTACTGGAG